AATAAAGTATAGCAGTTCCATAATCGGATCATCTCACCAAATTAATCAACGATTGGAGGGGGGGGGGTAAGGGTGTAATGGTAAGAGGTTGTAATTGTAATGGTAATGGTTATGGTAATGATAATTATAATGATAATGGTAAGGGTTCTCCACCCACAATAAGATCAACAATGGTTAAAATTTTGCTTTCAGGGTAGTGCAATATACGGTTAATGATACACACACTGATGGTTGACGATAAGCAAACACCCAGTTAAAAGTTTCGTGCATAAAAATAATGATGATTAAACAGTAGCCTTGCGTCATGTACCACTTTGTATTTGAGTTATTAATATTTACTTTTTGTAATCAAAGAGCTTTCGATTGTCCATTCAACCCACTTGTTCTTAAAAAAAGTCGGCAAATCATTTGCCCATCTTTCGCTACTAAAACTGTCCTTATAGCAAGCAGTGTTGTGTGATTCTCTCCCTTGTCTGTTTATTGTACGACCTTGTCGATCGACGGAAACTCATTTAGACACATGACCAATTGGAATGGCGGCTATTTTCAGAACGTCCATAGTCGTATGACTATCAACTGTATATACTATAGAAACTTTATCGCTAGTAATGTTTCGCTTGTAATTTGATTATACTCTAAATGACATTGCCCCAACTGTATATTCTGCAGTTATCATACGAGAATGACGAATGGACCACTTTATTATACACTATTCTCCACACAGCCACACGATTTCTTTGTCTCTCTCATCGTCACAATATTTTCGCATGCCCGGCTCCATTGTGGGCGACTAATATATACACTACCAATTAAGAAGAAATTCTTGCCCCCTCCCCTTTCCCCTTCCCCGCATTCCTCTTCCGCCTCCACCCCCCCAATTGTAAGAGAAATTCCTCGAGTTTGTTAAAAGGTAGTTACGGGATGCAGTCGAGCATATCATCACTATATATAGACTACGCTCGGTATGACGGGTGTTGATACTCGAGTTGTATAACTATCTAGGGGATTTGTATTTGTATTATGCCATCAGCATTTGCATACCCCTTGACCCAAATTGGGTAAAATCAACAATCAAACATTGACGTTAATAAAGTAATTTACTATTTATTCCTTATTATTAATTCGTGAGAGATTATTAATATATTAATAACAAGCCCGCGTTAAAAAAAAAAGTTTTTTTTTTTTTTTTGCTACCACTTAAACTATAGAAACACCTTTGCTCGTTTGATATGCAAATGCGACAATAATAATAGTCGTTTCTCTTACAAAGAAAAAGTATCGTGCAAACTCTAAAAAACCCGACTGCTTGACTCAACGTCTTTCTATTCGTCAACCCTACCCCGTGCAAATTCTAGCTTGCAGTTAGTTGCAACAAAACTGCCTGTGTGATCGTGTGATAAAGTAAGGAGAAGCTTGTTTGTAAATTTTTTATTGTGTAATAAAGTAGGGGAGGAGATTTTTAATTACAAGATATGATAATATAATAATTGTTGACTAATCAATAATACCCGCAACATCCACAACATCCACAACATCCACAATACCCACAATACCCACAACATTCACAACATCCACAATATCTATAATACTCACAATACCCACAACATTCACAATACCCACAATACTCACAATATCTACAATACTCACAATACTCACAATACCCAACACATCATATGTCTTGCTTATTCCTCACCCCAACCAAGCATTGACCAATCTGCGCTATGTGCTGACGTTGTACGTTTTTCTTAGTCTACCCTACATCAAACATCCAGGCAATGTAAAGATTAACGATGTGGGCATGAGCGATGTACTTGGCATATGATAACGATGTTTGCCCTACTTTTTCAAGCATAAGGCAGATCTTGCATATGGCTTATTTCGATATTTAGTTTTTATAATGGCTGCATTCTCTGTCCATTCATTTGCTTTTGGGCTGGCAGTAACAATGGAAAAAAATATTCGAAAAGATCAGGTTTTTTTTTTCACCTTGCGAAACAATCGGGATAGGGATGTGACGACAGTGGAATAATTAGGTTAGCGTCAGATGCACACCCTTGCAGCCGTACAATAGAAAGAAAATATACGCCACACAACCAGATTGAGGAGCAGTCTCTCATCGATTACAAATATGGTAATAAATACAAGGTGACAATAGTATATTCGAGAAAGGATTAATTTAATGAATGTGTGATGAATCGAATAGCGGATTGGATTGGATGAGATAGATTGGATGGGATAGATTGGGTGGGATGGAATGGGTGGGATGGAATGAGTGGGATGGATGGATAGTAACAAATAACAATCACAACTATATAGATTACCAACAAAGTCTAGGATTTTCATGTATTTGATTTGGGATATGTTTATGAGATTTATATATCTAACTAGCATGAAAATATTGGTTATGTATGTATGTGTGTGTATATATGTATGTACATATGTACATGTATGTATCTGGAGCCTGAGAGATTAAAAAACTAATCCAATTCCTCGGCAAAATATGGTTCTTTAATTCTGTTTGCATTTGTTATGGTACTATTAATAGCTACAATGTTGACTATTGTCCAATCCGACTTTGTCCACTTTCTCAGTCATTATTGATACCCATATTTCAAGACTTGACAAAAGTACGTTGAAATAACGAGGGAACAAATGAGCTGATGTATTACATAGTGATTGTAATATGAATCATACGACAGGTTATTAAATTTGTACAAAGAAAGGATTAATACCAATAATTCGATTATATGAGCTTGGCACACGATCGATGTACATCTAAATGAGGCATTATTGGATATATAACTATAAGAAAAAAAAATTAATAGGGTAGTCGGACGATTGGGCGAGTCGGTTGGTGGTAGCTCTTTTTTCGTAGGGTGGGAATGTGATATCATGTACAGAGGATCATCTACCTAACAGAGATCAACAACAAATCAAGCAGTCTGACTGGTATGGAAACATGGCGCAATGGAATATATACAATGAATAGAATAAATAATTTATTTAATTATTTGTGATGACGCAAAGTAATATCAAGCTATATATTATATATATTTGCTAAAAAAAAATGCGTTTCTCTCACCACAACAATGGTTTAACGCCAGAATAAAGACAATGAAAGATCATGAATTGACGGAGTCTTCCGTAGTGTGATTATGGTATCCAACACTGTCCAACAATGTCATCCGAACTCCCCATCCTTCCACTCTCTTGTTGCCCAATACAGCAAATACCCTTGTATTCCCTTACACGAATGCCTCCTATTCCTCTTTCCGCCTTACACACTCTTTTTTTCTTCTCTCTGTACGCTCTTTCTTTAATAATAATAATAAATGATAACAATCGCCATCATAACAATGATAATTACTATTGAGACCAGTTTGCACTCGCCCACCCCCCTTCCACCCCCTCCTCTGCTCTCTCTCTATCAATCGGATATCATCTATCAACGTAATCAGTCGTATTTATTTTTACCCCTTTTCTGTATCCCTCTGAAAAATCAAGAGAAACAAAAGAACCATTCATTCGTTATTATTTCTTTCTTTCCTTTTCATCCCTCCTCTCTCACCTGACCCTAACCCTGACCCTCTCATCACCCTCACCCTCTCATCACCCTCACCCTCTCATCACCCTCACCCTCTCATCACCCTCACCCTCTCATCACCCTCGCCCTCTCATCACCCTCGCCCTCTCACCCTTCATCACCCTCATCCTCACCCTCATCCTCACCCTCACCCTCATCAATATCTTGTATACCCGCCAACTACCTAATCGGTTTCATCTAAAAAAAATTGGTTCCTTGTCCTTGTCCTCCTTTCCCTGCAAAATATTCTCCACTATGTCAGTTTCTATTTTTTCTGATCCTTCCCGTACTCCGAGCGATAACATTCTCTCTCTTGTATCACCATCGTTGGTAATAAAAGTATAGCTGTACAACAACGTATAAATAGACACAATAAAAACGAATAAATAGATTTAATTACTATAGTGTGATTTTTTCTGATTGATTGATTATACGGAGCGAGGGGTGTGGGGTGACTCGTAAAACTGTGTGAAAGAGATATCGAACGTTTGTTGTGGCGGAAAATATGCTATCGTTCGTTGCATCTCTGAACAGAGAGTCGTATCTCTGGGCTGTGGGCTCGTATTGTAAGATGTCGAGCATGAGCTGCATCTTCACCGACATCGTACAAAAAATGTGGGTTCCTCACTAATCAAGAATAAAGTTTCCTCTTTTCTAGTTCTAACTAGCTAATAAAAATAATCTCTTGTGTTATCTTTTTCTCCTTATACGGAATAGCCAATTGGTGCGTTGTTCGAATACACCAAAGAAAAGTTTTTTTTCTTGTTTCTTTGCGAAACATGGACAAAAAAGGTCATATAAAATTTTATACAATCAGAAGCCCAATATACTATCCGATATGAACGTATTAATCAACCACTAATAATAGTCGATAAAAAGAATATAAATAGTGTATTTATACATTACGAATAATATACATTTACATAAATAATATTGTTTCACTGTATCGTTTTATATTTGTTGTATATTTATATATATATTATCCGTATATTTAATTTATAATCTAATGAACAGTACTTTTTTTTAAATTGAAGGCTGATTTTTGGTTGAAACCTATTAAATTAAATTATCGTATTGTAATTACAAGACATCAACTATAACATAAAACTTGATAAAGCCAGCTTCCCTCCACTCCCTCTCTCTCTCTCTCTTTGCCTGGAAGTATACCAGCCTAACAAATAATAATCCTCTCTTATAGACCAAACCTCCTAATAAGCAACCCTATCTTCTCTCTTCCCCCCCTTCTTCACCTCTTCTCTCGTCTTTTACCAACCTAGATATATATATATATCCTTGATTAAAAAGACTCGCAAAAAAAAAAAGACTGGTTGCTTACGGGAAACATATAGAAACTAGCAACACAACAGATTGGCGGCAACTCGCGTAGATAGACACAAGCAAACACCTTTTCCAATTTATGGCTGGTTTCCAGAATTCAACTAAGTTATACACCGAATCATCTAACACCTCTGCATTAACAACTGTTAGTACTCACTACTCTCAACAAGCCCTTCCTCACCCTACAACGCCAACTTCTCCGGCTTCATCACTACCAAACTCTTCTTCCACCACCGGCAACTCTAACATCACTCCCACACCCAACTCGTCTGCTAAAAACAATATTACTTCTGTTCCCCGTTCATTAAATACCGCTCCCGTTCTACAACACTCGAATAATTCCGCTTTCTCACCATATCAGAACAACATCCCGCAACATCCAACTCCCGTAACCACTCCCACCTCGACTAAACCTCAACTAGTACATCCAGACTCCACAATGATGGCTTCTCATTTGGACAGTAATACTTTAATTTATCCCCAGCACACAGCACACTTTGCCAATCCGCCAAACCAATTCTGGCCATCATGGAACACCCTCAGTGGTGGTAGCTCTCCTGGTGCCGTCGCCATATCTAATACGCCTGGCGGCAGCGCTTTTATGCCTGCCGTTGGCTATGGAGCAACACCCGGTAGTCTGTCACAGCACAACCCTCGACCAAAACTAACAACTACAATTTGGGAAGATGAGGGAACGCTATGCTACCAAGTGGATGCTCGAGGAATTTGTGTGGCAAGACGTCAAGGTATGATATTGCGTTTTCGTGATCTGGCTGGATCATAGCCCCATATGATGCAGTTTTTCATCAAAAACTAACTTTTGCTTTTATATCTCCACATCTGTTCCCAGACAATAATATGATTAACGGCACTAAACTTTTGAATGTTGTGGGAATGTCACGTGGAAAGAGAGATGGTATTCTAAAGAACGAGAAAGGGCGTGTAGTTGTTAAAGTTGGAGCAATGCACTTGAAAGGTGTATGGTAAGTTTTCTATTTACAACAATAGGCGGGTTGGTGATGCAAATTCATTTATATCAAGCATTGTGTTGATCGGTTATATCAATTTCATAAACGATAGGATTACATTCGGAAGAGCAAAGACTCTGGCTCAACAATTCAAGATCCACGAGTTATTATACCCGTTGTTCGTTGAAGATCCAGGCGTCTTTCTTCACAATTATACAGCGCCTATGCAGACAAATAGAATCCCTTCAATGAACGGTGTCGGTGCACACGCCCAGTGGCGACCGCATACGTTTACTAATTTTAACGGTCCTGCATATGATAGGCAGTGGTATGGTTATAGTAATGGTAGTGGAATAATTAATCAAGCCGCATCTCAACCACAAGATCACAGTTCACCCGCATATCCACCAAACGCAAAGTATGTTTAAATGATTTTTTTGTCCAACGTGTTACTATAATTTTCCCGTCTTACTCAAGCATTTTCTCATCTATAGCAACCATGCAGGCCAGCACATAGACGATGAGTACTCTAATTATGCAGTAATCAATGGACAGCCACAAGGCCAACAGAACGTAGTTGTGTCAGGGACGGCGGTTAGTATCTTGACGCCGAGTTTTTGAGACCAAGGTTTTTTTTTTAAATATAATACTGACTGTCGTATGATCAATTATCGTATCCTGGTGTTTCAGGCTTCCTTCCAACCGCGCTCACCGGTTTCCTATGATACTGGTGCTTCTGCTGCCATCAACTCTGGACCTAATGCACGTCCGGGCACTCCAGTGTATCCCAACGTGAAATCAGAAGACACTGTCGCAAGTAATGGAAACAATTATTACCGACAACCGGGTATTTACAATCATCTAGTCTCTACAGATGTTGCGAACGGAACGACACCTCAATCAAATTCTCCATCACAAATAATTGGCCAAAAACGAGGTTATGTTGGCGATGATGAGACTGACGACTATAATGGATCGAATCAACCGAGTCCACCCCTTGCCATGCATCCACCGCCATTGAACGGCATTCCTGTCAACACGGCTATGAATGTCGCCGCTGGCTCATTTCCAAGTCCGATGAACGCTAGTCCTAATTCATCTCCTGGTTCATCTGCTTTTTCCGGATGGCCTGCTGGCAAACGTGTCAAGTACGAATTCTCTGAGTCAACGGCGTCCTCTTCTGCTCAATCATCACCAAGGATTAGTGGATATGCACTTCCTGGACTGGCTAACGGTGCTGGAGCATCCGCTACACCCGCAACTCCGACACAAACATATACTAGCAGTTCTCTGCAGCTAGTAACAAACGCGCAACAAGGGAGTCCGCATTACTCATCAGCTGGAGCGAACGCAAATGGTCCTGCTACGGGTACCACTACACCCACAACTGAGGGATATTTTCAAGACAATAGTAATGTCTTACACACACCATCGCCAGACAATGCACCCGTTGAGGAGGCAAGGCGATATGAACAATATCGAAGAGAAGACACAACAAACGAAGAGATCAGTAGTAATAACTGGAATGGAATAGAATAGACCAAGGGTTTTAAAAAAAATTAGACACACTCTTGAATTTGGAATTTGTGTAAATCAATTGCTTTGTTTTCTTTATTCTCGTTTCTTTTTCGACTATAAAAGACCAAAAAAAAATGATGAAAATCCCAAGAAACAATTATTTCTTTTTAGTATTTTTCTTTGCTTTTATTTTCTCTTTTTTAAATTACACTAGTAGTAAAAGTTTCTCTTGATACCTCTCGAATGGACTCTTTAGATTCTTTAAATTCAAGTTTAGATAGTGACCGGGAGAGTATGAGAGAATTCTATCTCTCCTTTTTTTTTTTGTTTGCTCAAACAAGTTTATACAGTTGGGTTTGGTAGATGGGCTGCGGGACTTTTTTTTTTTGGGAACTCTTATATAGCTTGTCTTGATGCGAAATAATACTGATTAATCAGTTTTCTTTTTTCATTTTTTACCTTTTTCTTTTGCTCGAGTCGGCTGTAAAGAAGTTCCCGTCTTTAAATACAATTTTTCTGATACATGTGTCGATCAAAGAATTTTCGTGTTAGTAAAAGAAAAAAAATAAATAAATTGTATGTAAGATATATAGAGTAATTAAAAGCTTGCTAATATCTATATCCTTTTTTTTTTCTTTTTGAATTGTAAGTGATAAATAATGTACAGTTTATTTTTAACCAAATCACGCGTGTAATGCAGGGCCCACATCAATCGGTCCCAAATTCGTCAGCGTTTTATTAATTTTGTAGCATATAAAGCTCCATCTGTATTAACACCAAAAAATCAATCGACTTTTTATTAATCAGGCGCAGAACCTAATTGAGCACATGATTTACTAAATACGGTACCCCTTCTAACAATTATATGATTCTACGGAAGAAATTAGAATATAGTCGTTGATCTTTTCCCCGTGGCTAGGTTCTAAACTTGTTTTAATTTTACAGGGAGAATTGAAAGGAGGTAAAACTACTTTCATCGCCAAAAACCTGGAGAAAATTTCCCCTCACTTTTGCCAGAACGATGTCAGATATCAAGACGTGAAAAGGCGTGGAGAGATGTTCATCGCCATCAATTCTTGGAAAAGTAATTTACATGCATATGGAATGTGAACTTGCGATATCTGTGGGAGATTAATAAGAGATTAGTAAATAGTTGCCGTAATCTAATCAGATAAGCATGACAGAATATGGTATAATTACCTGTGTGGTGTTCTTACAAGCTTTACATTCAAACGTATTCTTTTTCAAGTTTGCTATAGCCATCAACCCGCAAATGTCACAGACATGTATGCGGTATGCATCAGAGGCGTCAAAAAGCCGTTCCTATCAGAACGTGCAGTGTAAAAAATTAATTCTACTATCAGGTAATAATAATTAAAAAAAAAAAAAAAGGGACACAACGTACCTTGAGGAACATGGCTGTACCGTGAGAAATCATACAATCTCTTTCCATTTCGCCAAAACGTAATCCACCGTCACGACTACGACCTTCTACCGGCTGTCTTGTAAGAATCTGTACAGGTCCTCTTGCTCGTGAACTGATAAAAACAATACATTTAGTAGAGCGGCAGACACTGTCTAGATATTCACCATTACCTTACTCACTGAATCTTGTCATCCACCATATGCTTAAGACGCTGATAGTAGGTAGGACCCAGAAATATTTGGGCAGCGAGCTTGCGACCCGTGTGGCCATTGTACATAACCTCAAAGCCTCGGGATTGATAACCTTGCTCCCTGAGCCCAGCCGAAATTGCTTCAACAGTCACGTCTGTGAAAGGTGTCGCATCTCCCTCACTACCCGTTAGGGTAGAGACCTAGAAAAAACAACATAATAAGTAAGCGTGCAACAGAGGAAAAGAATTGATAGTTAATCTGCAGTTATTCTAACTACCTTTCCTAGTAGACATTCAACCAAGTGACCAATCGTCATACGACTCGGAATAGCATGTGGGTTTATTATTAAATCTGGTGTAATTCCGTCTGCAGTAAATGGCATATCCTCCTGGCGATATGTGACGCCAATGGTACCCTTTTGACCATGACGACTCGCAAATTTATCTGGATGGTAAATTGAATGAGTAAAGTGGAATTTTGCTTATAATACCAGTTCATCGCACTCACCTCCCATTTGAGGTATACGGGTACTTCGCACACGAACTTTAACAAACTTCATTCCTTCCTGATTAGTTGTCACCATGACTGAATCGACGATACCCGATTCCGTACTTCTAAGAGGGGTAGATGCATCACGTTTTGTATGAGTGCTTTGTCGTTGACCTAGTTCCAGCGTATCCGGAGGAATCGGTGTGACCTTTCCAATAATGATATCATCTCCAGAAACTCGGGTTCCAGGAGCAACTAGCCCGTCTTCTTCAATTTTTTCATAGGTTCCATGCTTCAAACGAAGCGTCGTTTCTCTTGTTGGTTTTTCAAATTCTTCTATAGTCAGCATTCCCTACAAGTTTCGATAAAACGCAACATGAACTATGTTTTTGACATCAAAGTATAACCAACAAAATTTACATACCACTTTCTTTTCCTGATCCATATAACTTCTGTAAAACATACTCCTGAACAAACCCCGATCAATGCTACTCTGGTTCATAATTACTGAATCTTCCTGGTTATATCCGCTATAACATAAAATAGCGACAATCGCGTTTTGCCCAGCAGGCAGTTCACGGAATCGCAAAAACTCCATGGCACGTGTTGTTACAAGTGGTTTTTGAGGGTAGTATAAAATGTTTGCTAAAGTGTCCATTCGCAGTTGGTAATTTGTAACATATACACCCATCGCTTGTTTACCCATAGCGGATTGATAAGTATTACGAGGAGACTAGAAATAAAAAAATCAGACATGAAGCAGCGTATCGGTATAACAATAAATTCATTCATGAAAAAAGTATTTACTTGATTGTGATCTGGGAAAGGTATGATGCTTGCACAGATGCCTAGAATCATACTAGGGTGAATTTCACAGTGAGTCCAGGTGCTTGTATAAGCGGCGATATTGCTTTTAACACGAGCAGAGACATCCTTCACTTTCGGCTTCGTTATTGCTTTTTCACCACCAAGATGGTATCGTCGCGATTCAGCAAGGTCTTGCGGCGTCATACAAATCATGACCGTTTCTTCTTCTTCGGCATCTATAAGTTCGATGCATCCGTTCGCAATTAAATCTTGCCAGCCGAAAGTAGGCGCATCTGGATCATTTTTCTAATAAAACTGTTATAATCTAGACTACATTCAAAAGAAAAAAAGTTGTTCGCACAATTGGGATGTTGTATCATACCGATTCTTCCAGCTTCTGTACTATTTCCTTTGTAATTACCAATCTCATGTCTTGCACAATAAATAGTGGCCTGCAGACTCTTCCAGCGTCTGTATAAAGCCGTAATTCCCTTTCACGAATGTCTCTGACAACACTTACTTCTGGACTCACATCGACGCATCGTCTCAAACGCTTAAGAGTATTGACAAGTTCTTCTGGATCATGAGTGACCCCAGCCCAACTGCCATTCACAAATATCTTTGTAGCTTCATTCAAATTGACATTGCTCGATTGTATTTCAGCGAGATTCTGCATGCCAAACTCTTCCAAGAATTCAATAATCGGGTCGGATGAACTCCCAACAGAAATATATGACATTAAAGCCAAGTTCTTGACCAAGCCGCACGCTTGTCCTTCAGGCGTTTCGGCAGGACAAACCATACCCCAGTGCGTGTTATGAAGTTGGCGTGGCTTGGCAATCTTTCCGTCACGCCCCATCGGAGTATTACATCTTCTTAGATGAGAAAGCGTAGACGCAAACGTATAGCGATTGAGTACTTGCGAGACACCGGCTCTTGACTGAACGTCGTACAATAATTGCAATTAATCCTAGCATCAAAAATGAGGATATAGAAAAATATTAACATGATACCTATTATACCTGCATGGCCTTCTTCTGGTCTCCCCAATTTCCTGTAGCCAAAGAATATTTTAGCCCATTGGTAATAGTCTGAGCCTTCACCGCTAAATTGAGATTAAATTCACGGCTTGTATCGATGCACTGTAACAATAATGGTATATAAGATATTGGATGAACGCATAATAAAAGAGATTGTGTTACTGTTCCGAGGAGAGTCCTTTTACTTTTC